TCTGCCCCCTCGGGTGGCGATGAGGCAGGCGGGAAATCCCCAACGATACGGTATATGGGAGTCCTTCAGTTGTTGCAGTAGGGGTCTCAGCTGTCGTCTACGTGCGAGGGTCTCCGGAGAGAGATCCGGGAAGATTTGAATCTTGGCGCCATCGAAATCCACTTCTGAGGGCCTTGTCAGTGTAGTAATGCAAACGCACTGACGTCACAGGAAGGCCGCGTAGGCGGAGGTTGTTCCTGCGGTTCCTGTTTTCCTGGTCCTCAATCTTGTACAGGGCTTGGCGGGTATGGAGCCATGCTTGCTTACCCTGATTCTGCAGTTCGCGGATGGCCTGAGCGTGATCATCCAGGCGGTCCTCCGTCACTTCAACGCGGTGCAATGTGTGCGAGAGTTTGGAGCGAAGCGCCGTTAGGTCGGATTTGATGGAGGTCTCGAGGCGCAGGAACATGGCCGACGGCTCCCTTTTGGTCGGTAGGGAGTGGGCTAGTGTGCGGACCGACATCTCAGAGCCGTCATCTGAGTCTTCCGTACCCGTAGGCGCCGAGGTGCCCACCTGCAGGGGCTGTCGGCGTCGCGTGGAGTCCATGCTAGGCCGCGCTGGCTATAGGGTCGCAGGCGCATGCAGGGCCTCCCGGTCTTCTGGCAGGGAATCCGCCGCCCACAGGCGCTTGAGCAAGCCCGCATTCGGTCCCTTAGCGGAGCCCGACTTCTGGCTTCTTTTCCCCATGAGGAATCTGAGATGGGTGAGGCGAAGAGTCCACAAAATAGCGAGCAGCTCGGGGATGGAGAGGGAGCCTCAATTAGGCACGTCCAGCCGCCGCCATAGGTAAGCCACGCCCCCCTGAAAATTTATTTTAAGCCATTTGATAATTTCTACACATTTAAAGCTTATAGATGAAAAAAAATCAATTTACATTTCTCTTTAAAGTGTTCCTGTGTTGTGTTGTGTTGGTACTGGACTCTGCTGCCTTAACACTTGAATATGTAAAGCAGTTACTTGCGTACACAGAGCCCTGTACTCCTCTCTCCAGAGTATAGCTGTGGTTGGGGAGGGCGGGGGCATGTAGGTCCTGTGCAAGGTTAGGGCACAAGCGGGTCTGCCTAATCCATGTTCTGCTGAAATAGATCCTGCTCTTTCACCATACCTGAGCTGAAACCCGCCTTTGCAGCAACTTATACTCATGGTCCGGCATGCACCCATGAGCAGCATCCTGACCTTTAACTGCGTCCGTGATAAGACTGCCGGAGGCTGTCGCTGCAGAACTGCAAAGGGAAGCTTAATAATTATGTGCTGGTTAGTGTCAGCGAGAGAAGTACTGCAGTATATTATTATATGTAAGAACGACACAAAAAGAGCAGTTAAGTGAGGAAAGGGATTTGAAAAACTCATCCAAAATTCTCATACAAATTGTTGTGTACAATTCACATTAACACAATGATTAGAGGGATTAAAGTACCAGCAAATTAACAAAGTGATTAATTAGAAGCAAGATTCCATTCACTAGCATAGCATACCAGGCAGGAAGATTCATATCCTAGTGTTAATTAGTTGAAGGCATGATTATTTATGATGGCCAAGCCATCCATCTAAATCTAATCTTATGATTATGTATGATAGAAAATTCATCCATCTAAATCTAAAGTTAAGATTGCTGCTGAAAAAATACCATAGAATTGTTAGAACTTTAAAGATTGGTTAATGAATAGCAAATCAAGTTGTACACATACACTGAGTGGCCAGTTTATTATGACCTCCTGACGTTTGTAGGCAAATTAGCTATAATTTCGCGCTGAAGTTGCTAGAGGGCCAGACCATTATAAATAGGGAAGTAGGTTGTTTACCACGACAGTAGAAGTGATTTGTTTTCTGAAGATATGGGTAAACAACGCGATTTAACAGCCTTTGAACGTGGGATGATTGTTGGCGCTCAGTGCCATGGAGCGAGTATCAGCAAAACAGCAGAATTCGTTAAATGTTCAAGAGGGGCTCATTGTTAAAGTGTTTGGACTGGACTGTCAGCCCGAAATCTGGGACTGAATGTGCGAATTGTGGCCGTCAGCGACTAGTCAATGTTAGGGCAGAACGGAGAGTGGCAAGACTGGTACAAGACAACAGAAGGGCAACAGTGCAGTTTCAGATTCCTTGCATCACTTTTCAACATCTCGTTGAGTCACGAGGCGGCCAAACGAAGTCATCTCATGGCCCAACGAAGTACTGATGGGGTGGTCATAATAATCTGGCCACTCAGTGTATATGCATTGATTGTGGGGTTGTGGAAATAAGGGCAGACCTAATATCACTATTGGCTGAATGTAATACTGACTTGATGTTTTTCGGGTAGAGACCACTTTATCAAGGATGCCCCTGGGCTCTCTCCTCCACACAGTCACTGTGTATATATTGTAGGAAATTCTTCCACTTGTCTTGCAAAGCTGTATAGGAAGGGTTTTAAGCAAAATGTCAGAACTTGGAAATGAGATGCTGTTATCTGTGTAGGGTCATGTGAATGTCTCAATCCACTGCATGGTGATGCAGAGGGAAGTGTTAAGGTAAACAAAAATCAAACTGGCTGGTCATTGCAACCAGAGTTCACTCGCCTCTTCCATGGCCTGTGCATCCTACCTTCTCTCTAAGTGCCTTTAGCACTCCAAGATCTTTGGAAAAATAATTATATACCAGAAAAAGATATACCTTTTTCTCAAGGTGACACCAAGTTGTAGTCCTGCTCTGCACTCACGATTATAGACTACAGGGGTGTTCTTTTAAACATTAGAAGCCTGGTCTTAACTGTTCAACTGCAAAACAGCTAGATGCACACAGCGTTACCGCTGCATGTAATCAGTGAAACCCTTCAATCAGTGGATGTGGGGCTGCTCTAACAGAGGTGAACCCAGGCTGATGCAGATTGCACAGTGACAGCCTCTTGTGATGTATTTATAGACGCGCAAGACTGAGGGGGTCTATGTATAACCAATTTGCAACCAATTCTGAATGTATGCTCTGTGTGAATAGAATATTCAGAGAGATTTTCTTCAGGGTGAATGTATGTGATGTAATACTGCATTTTGGCCTCTAGATGGAGGGGAGGATCATTGGATAGTTGCGCCTCAACTCCATCTAGTGGCTATAACTCAGTATTATATTACACACATTCAACCTGATAAGAAAATATATCTAAGAACATTTGTTTTTGCGTCTATTCAAACAGAATGAACGTTCGGAAAGATTAACAGGGCGAATGGCTCTGTGAATTGGTTATAAAAGGCCCATTAGTCTTGCGCACGCACACACACACCACTCTGCCATTTTGTTTGAAGCACCCATTTGTTTAATATCTTTGAACGTAAGTGTTTTGCTTTTATTACCATTGCTGAAAAAAATAAACTAATGTCTGAATGAAATGTGCTCTTTTATTGCTTACATTATATTTCACATAACATTGTTGCACCTATTCAAGGCTGCACCTTCTTTATATTTGGTAATGACCATTTCTGAACACCTTTTGCAGAAATGTGTAATTTTATCACTGACGCTAACCAGCACAGAAGTATTTTTTAAACGCGACTCCAATATGGAGTAGAGTGTTGTCTACACACCCTCCTACCTAAACTAGTCAGCAATGGTGTTGTACTAGAAACAGCCCCCCGGACCAATTTTATTTACTTGATTGAATTTCCTGTATTGTGTTGTAATGGTGACCTTTCAATCAAGTGATTAGTAATTGGTTGTTGGTGGATATTTCTCTGGTCTCCTGGCCCTCTTTATTGAATAAACTGGTGATAACAACATATAAGCCAGCTGAACGTGTCAGCTAAGCACAGGAAATTTAGCGGTCCAGCCGGGTTCATTTTTTTTTTCCATGCTAGAGATTTATGTCCATCCTCGGTCTATTGTAAAATATATGTGCTTCCAGATCACCTATAAAGAGATAAGATGGGTCTGAATCCTGTTTCTCTTTCATACAAGCTCTTGATTACAAAGTAACATTGAGCAGATATATTTCAGCTGTGTTCTGTGCTTTGTGAAAGTGTCAGTTTGACGGTTAGCTCCAGCCCGACTTGTTACTGGAAATCCATTCTGTGTTGTGACTGCAGCAATCTCCCTTCCACTATCTCTGCATTGCAGTGTGTTTAGTGGTGCCTGGATGTGAGAAAAAATGGCAATACGAGCTGTTTACAGTGACTTATTTTTATGTTGGTGTTGTCTTGCCTGCTCATACATCTTGGGATGGCCGTGTTTATGATATATGGATGAACTCTCTAAAAGTCATTGTGGTAGTAATTAACGACTGCCGTGTTTGCCGTTTATTTGCCTGGAAAGTGCTCGTATAAAGAGCGTAATGTTTTCTAGATTGAACTTGAGGCTTTTAGTCGGGTAATATTTCACTACAGCGATTTACCTTTTACAGAATACCCTAAAGGTAAACTTTTCTGCAGACGTAAGGGGGCTCTCTGTCATAATCAAATTCCCCTGCTGCCTGATCCTTGTTGCGGAACACAGAGGACACCATCCATGTTTTACATTGAATATGTGCTGTCATTTCAGATCTGCAGGTGAAAGATAGCATAGCAGTGTGATCTTTCAGGGCTGGAACTTGAGCATTGGTCACCAGTTCAATCTATGTCCCTATCGTTTAGAGCAGCGTTTCTCAACCCTTTTTCAAAGACACCCTTTCAAAGTATGCACATTCTCAAGACACCCGAATCTAAAAATGTAAAAAACGGTATGTGATCCCTCTAAAACCTTGATACGAGATATGGGTCTGGTATGGATGGGGAATGTAGTGGATCCCATCGCACTCCTGACCGGATAAAGCCCAAACAAAAATTTGGGGGTGCCGAAAGTGAAAACGCCAAACAGAACACAATAGCAGGATGGATTTAACCCCCTCACCGTGACATGCATTTGTGTATGATTTTGACTTTTCCTCGAATGCAAAGCCTATGAGTTGTCCTTTGTTGTTGCCTACAATACGCTAATATATGATGATGTTCTTCAGGCTGAACTTGGTGGAGGCGTTTGTGACCGATGTTGAGCTCAGGCAGAGTCTCCAGGAAGATCTTCTGCGACGTTTTCCAGATCTTAACCGGCTGGCGAAGAAATTCCAGAGACAGAATGCAAACCTGCAAGACTGCTACAGACTGTACCAGGCGGTGAACCAGCTGCCCAATGTCGTACAAGCCCTGGAAAAATACGAAGGTCTGTGTCACTAGTTGTGAATGTGTATGATCTTTGTTGTTTGATTGGACATCCAGTGGCAGGCTATCTGGTGTTAGCTAGCAGTGCACCAGATTTCAAACTTTCATAGTTACATAGTTAGTCAGGTTGAAAAAAGACACGGGTCCATTGAGTGCAACCTATATATTTCCGAAAAATAAGTGTGTACTACTGTGACCATGTATTTAAAAGCCAGTAAAGTATAAGTTTTGATGGCAGAGATTTTCTATCATGCCAGAACATCTGCAACTAATCAAATGGTTTCAAGTATTGTTGCCTTTTCAGAAAGGAACAGATAAATGTGCCTATTGATCCTATAGAGAGTGGTCTGTAGCAGGATCTGAAACACAGGACTAGCTCCTAGACTTAGTGCTGGACCCCCAGCTGTCACTGACAGCACGCAGGTGCAGTGCTGTTGCTGGCTGGTTACCACATGGCACTGGGACAAATAGCTGCTATCCTACTGTTGTTTTAAAATGGAACCTGGGACTGGCACCTAGTGGATAATGTGAACTAGGACTTCAAACAGATTTTGCTTGAAGCCAATCTCTGGGCAAACGCCCCTCCTCCTTCCCTTTTCCCATGACTTATCTATACACACCCTGTGAAATCTCTCCTACTCCCCTACTCTATCTCCACTGCCAGTGTCCCTTGCTGGCACCACTTCAGTGGTCCCAGCTCTGCAGTCTGTGCCTGCACTGAACAGGCACCTCAATGTGATGTTATGCCGCTGCAGTCTTCTGAATCCTGAGAGGACCCTGCTACTGGACACTCAGTAGCAGAAGTTTCTCATGACGTCCAGGTAATGACTTAGACACCTGAGAAAGAACACGTGAGCAGGTAAATAAAAGGGCCTTCTCCTACGCCTCGTCAACCCTAAAAGTTCTTGTTCAAATTCTGGCTTTCACAAGAAACTTGCTTAAAGCAAATCATTTTTTTTTTCTTTTTACTGCGCTGTAGCTGGGTGAATGACTGGTCAAAAACTGTGCCCTGTGCTGTTGGGAGCAGGGAGCTTGGTTTCCAAAAGTACCTGGTGTATGATGAACTATAGTGGGAGACCACCGGAAAAAAAAGATCAACTCCTTCTGGAGCAAGTTTAGTTCAGTCAAAGCACAATTCCCCTAAATTAATGCATAACTGCATGCATTAACTTTGCAAATCTACCTGGAGTTCAGCTTTAAAATTGATAATGCATTAGAGGTATTAGTGAAAATGACTATATTGATTCCCATAAAGGGGAAGGTAAAATAAGTTGGAGTGATAACGACTGTATTGATTAACATTCAAATAAACCTTCAAGTTAAATCTTTTCTTGCTTGCTCTTTCTTCTAGTGATTAGTTGATGTGCTTTCCAGTTTCGCTACTCATTTTAAAGCATTATGTCCCCCGTTAGGAAGAGTTACATTCATTGTAAGTCAGAGTGCTGGTCATCCATCATCCCCAGAGTGATGCGAAGTGGCCTAGCATGCGGTCCTCTCTGCCATAACTAATAAATTGACTTGTAGAGCGGGCACGCGGCCAACCAAAATGTAATTTTTCTGTTTTTGTCCTTGACCCATCTCAGGCTTCCAATTTCATTTTATGAAAATAATTTTCCACATGCAGTGTTGTGTGCAACCTTGAAAATCATTTGTTTAAGTTTTTTTTTTATTGCACAAATCCCTTGAAGCGACTCAAAATCAGACAAGTGTTAATATTGGCATTCCAGGTGAATTTGATGGTTCATTTCCTACATGTGAGCTGAATTTACTTCTAGTAACCTTTTCATTCTGTATGCTATTTATAGTGGCGGTGGTGACCTCTGGTTTATGCAGTGCCTATAGTTTCCCTCCTTAATTTCTCATGGAAGAGAGGATGTAAAGCTCATCTAAAAACAAAAATGTAATATTGCTGCTTAATAGTCATTTAAAGGCTAATTGCACCTTTTTAATACCATGTTTCAGCAACACCCATATTTAGTGTGTAATATTGAACATCGTGCCATTCCTCAGCCACCCCTCAGTGTGCGTGTGTGTTCCCACAGAGTGGTTTTACAGACTGCCCTCAGCCTGTGGTCTCACAGTGAAGGGGAAGCAGCAGACTGATTAGGTCATCCATTTTGCTCTTTTCGTGTGTGTAATGTGTGTGTGTGTATATGTATGTATATGTATATATATATATATGTATGTATATATATATATATAATTAGTGTGTGTGTGTGTATATATATATATGTATGTATATATATTTAACAAACTGTTGGACACATGCAAGTTAAAACAATGTCTCGTGTGTTTTGGGAACGTGTACTAACAGGAATGTCACCTGTCTTGTGGATCGGGTCAGTGATCCATTACTAAACGGTAAAGGAGGGTGACGCTACTGGGCATATATTCGAAAAGAAAGAACGTCTGAAGACCGCAGTCCTGGCCAGATCTCACCCAAACTCACATCCAATAGGCAGACTGATATGGGTAATAGAGTACTTATTAGACCAGCTGTCAGTACACGCTTTGAATTTTAGCTGACGGTGAGTCCAATGAGGTGGTCATCTGACCAGATATACAGTTGTGCTCGTAAGTTTGCATACCCTGGCAGAATTTATGATTAAGACTTCAAGCTGACATTGATGTTAAAGGGGGCAACACACCGTATTAAGAACTGGGGTATGTAGACTTTTGATCAGGGTCATTTGGGCAGTTTCTGTTGTAATTATGATTGAAAAAGAGTAAACATAGTTGATTTGATAATAAATGGCTTCAGCCAAACACTACCCATTGAGTGACCAGAGGTTTTCGTGTTATCATCCATATTCTCTGAAAAATGGCCAGGAAATCATAAATTCTGCCAGGGTATGTAAACTTATGAGCACAAGTGTATTGTCAATCAAATCTGACTGTGCCTAGCTATGAGTAACTAATTGGAGTATGCTTAAAGGAGAACTATGAGGCGAGTGATTTTCACTCATCCTTATAGTTCGAGCCGATGTGTGACAATGAAACTGCCACAGGTCGGCTCAATAGATCTCGATCATCTCCCTGCAGAGAGCCGTGACTGTCAGTCAGCTCCCTGCAGGGACCGCGCGCCCCCCCGGTCCGATCCTCCAGCGCTGACTGGAGGAACGGGAGGGGGCGGATACAGCTGTCTCTGCCTCTAGATAGGAAGAGCCCGCTGTCACTCACGCAGCTGGGTGCGGCGGTCTCAGTATACAGCAATCTGTAGCTTGCGATATACTGAGCTTTGGGTCACGGGAGGACGCTAGTATATGTCCTCCTGTGACCCTTAAGAGAACTATGGGGAAAAACACTTACCCCATGGTTCTCTTTTGAACTTTTTTTTTTCTAGTTTTGTTAAAAGTGTAATTACCCTGCAGCCCAAACTGCTTTATCACCTTAAGGGAAGTGGGAAATCAATGGCTGTACTGGTGGGATCAACAGATAACTAAACAAGTCTTTATGTGCCCATACACTGGCCGAATTTTGGCCGTTTTTTAATGTACCAGCCAAAATGTGCACAGTGTGTCGGGCTGTCGGCTCCCGTTCAGCTGGCATTCCTCGATCAGCTGATGGAAGGAGCCTGCTGGAAAATCTCTGTGCAATCAGAGCCGGCAACCAAAGAGCTGCCCGCTCTGATCGGGTATTTTGAAAGGTGCCGGCGTGTGTCAGAATACAATGCAAACTGCAGTGATTTCTCGATCGACACGCTGTTTGTGTTGATGGAGGAATCGTGTCAATTTCTTCCGTTCAGTCCTCGGGTTGAACGAAAAATTGACAGGTGTATGGCCAGATTTACAAGGGGACCTCTGGAAAACAAAAACTGCTGTTAGTGTCCATTGACACTGTGCTGCACTTGTGCATTGCTTTAACACCCTTTGCATGAAGGCAGCCTATTCATTTTGAGTTGCTGTGCACTGCATCACATGTACGTTCTAACTGTGTTTCCCTAGTGCATTGAAGTGTCATTCAAAATAAATGGCACCGCAAAGAGTTAACGCCTTGCATCATAAGTGTGTTTCAGCCCTGAATGTTAATGACTAACTCCATAATTTTTTTTGCCCATCGTAACACTTTAATAATAATGATTTAGCATAAGCCCAGTCATAATTGGTTCTCCTTATGGTAGCATTTGAATTGAAATCTACTCTAGCACATAAAATAATTTTAAATCAAAGATATGCCATCCATGCCTGCATGTAAGCTGCATTTGCAATGTGTCCCTGCAGCACAGAGCAGACTTCCCAAACGAGTACCTGCTACAAATGTTCAGGGCTGTTTACACGCCGCACTCCAGAAATGCTTTCTTTTGCTAAATTAGCTGCTGAGTTAGTAATAGTTTTTATAAAGCATTTCCTCTTCTAAACCGCCTTCCCCGCAGTGCAGACCGATGGCTGCGGGATGTTGGTGCTGCAAATTATAGATAAGTAAGCTTGATTGGGTCAGTTCAGCCTTTTTCGACACCTTGTATGTTGGCTGAGTAGATCCACCCTGTGGCTTTTTTCCCCCTGAATGAGCGTAATATGTCTTATTTATTTTCAAGCCGCATTTGTGCATTATTCACTTATTTCATTCAATGCTGCAGTGATTTATAACCCGGACAGGTTTTGAGGCAGCCAGCTGTTTTACTGTATCGACTGAGTTTAAGGGCTAGTTCACACCAAGCGCGGAGCAGATGCAGAGCAGGTGCAGACCGGATCAAAACTGCGTCCAATGTATTCCAATGGTATTTTGAGCTCCAGTTCACACCGCAGCGTGCAGATCCAGAGCAGGTAAAAAAATGCAGCAGGCCCTATTTTACCTGCTCTGGATCTGCAAACGCATCAAAAACGCATGCAAATGCCTGGAACGCACCGAAAGCCCATGTTAAACAAAAAAAAAAATAGTTTGTTTTTTTAAGCCAAAAACGCATCTAAAAGACTAGCGTGCGTGTGCAGAAACCTGACCAGATCTGCTCTGCATTTGGTGTGAACAAGGCCTAAAGGTATATTCCAGTCGAACCCCATGAAAATTGTGCTTTTCAGCCGATGCGTCGAGAACAGACACTGCTGAGTGGCTGTCATTTTCATCCTGGCATTCACCTTGGACACCTGGCTGCCCCATTATATGAATCCCTATGACTTCTTTTGATGGGCCATGAATCTGAGCCTGTGGGAAAAAGGTTCCAGTACTTTCTCTGAGCCAGCTGCAGGCTTACTCATATACATTAAAGCATGGGTATATTGCCTGTCAAATGACAAACGTCTCCAGCCCTACTCCGAATCCACAGCTTGCTAAATCTGGCTGTAAAGGATAACTGAGAACATTGATTAAAACCCAAAAGGCAATGCATTCCCATGGGGCTCGTTCACAACTGTGTGTTTGTACGCACGCACAAGAATGCAGAAAATGCGCATCTATTAAACATTTCTAATTTTTGTTCCAGTAAAAACTCGCTGAATTGCAAACGCGGATGTGTGAATGGAGCCTAAATGTGATTCCGCAGTATAATGCAGATAGGGTTGTTGTATACACCAGCCTCTTGTCAGGCTTCCTTGTGTATTCTTTCATACTTGAATACCTTCCTCAAGCACCTTCTATAACAGCAGCTTTTCTTCATGAGAGCATTGTGACACTGATGGTTTCATTCACGCTCTCTTTGCTTTCCAGGCTGCAGTTTGCGGCTGTTTTGTGAAGTAGAGAACCTGAATCTGTACATCCCATGTATAAATATTTAATACCATCAATTTCCAGGACTGCGCTTGTAAAACAAAAGGAGACTCGCAGGCAAAATTCAACTCCCAGTCTTTGTGCAATTCTGAGCATCGCATGCATGTCATTAGGTAGCCCAGTGTGTTTGTAAGCAGACATCTGCATGGGAGGAACACAAGCCATGGTTGTTTTCTCTGCGGTCTTATTGTTACAAAATCAAAAGGAATCTATAGTTTTGTTTATTGTTTTTTTGGTTTGTTTTTGCACCCACATGTTTCTGCTTAATAACAATTCCCAGTTTAATGGTTGAGAACTTATCTACAAAACATCTGTCGGCGTGCATAAGTAAACCATGTCCTAGGCTTAGGGGAAAACCAACAAATGCAGGAAATGTAAACAATCATCAAGCTTTGGCTGATCACAGCCTAGCTTTAACAAAATAAAATGCATGTCTGGGCAAAAAACAATGCAGTGTATATACCTGCCATACATGCACATTTCCCCATGTTACCTTTAAAGTGACACTAAACTCAGTTGTTAAATCTTAAAAATGCATTCAAGTACCTTAGCTAATAATGCTGTATCTTATTTGTGTATCACTCTTACTCGGCTGTAGATCCCCAAATCATCTCTGAATTGGTGCTGACACTGTCCGTCCTTCTGGAGGCTGGCTACTTTTGTTCCCCATGGTCCCTGTGTGTTGTTGTAAAGTCGCCACTGCTCCAAACCCGCTCCCGTGATGGACTACAATCTCACGTTTAGTTTACGAATTTGTATTGAGATTACAGTCCATCACAGGAGTGAGCTCGGAGCAGTGACTACTTTACAACACACACAGGGACCATGGGGAACAAATGTAGCCACCCTCCAGAAGGAAGGACAGTGTTCACAAGAGACTGGCAGTGGGTGGTCTGTTGTATAGGGTTTCTGCATTTTCATATAACCCAGCCCTCCAGCTGTGATGAAACTACAAATCCCATAATGCATCCCTTTCCGGGAGTCAAGTCTGTGGCTGTGAGAATCTTGCAAAGCCTCGTGGAATTTGTAGTTCCACCACTGGAGGGCCGGAGTTTGGCTACCCCTGATCTAGCCTATTCAGTTTTTTTTATTTTTATGTATTTAATCGCGTAATTTTCAGTCTTAACTAGACTTTTTTTTTTTTTTTTTACCTTCAATTCCCAAAACAGTGAAATAAAAAAATGTACATTTCTCTTCAAGGGTCTCACCAGATGCTCCTGCTGGCCGTGTTTGTTACTCCGCTCACTGACCTTTCTAGTGACTTCTCCAAATTTCAGGAAATGATTGAAACAACTATGGACATGGACCAGGTATGTTGTCTACACCAAATATTTCTACCAAGGATTGGAGCACCACCTGTATGACATGCAAAGGTGCTGCAGACCTGTAAAGATAATTTTGGGTTTGATGTATGTGGCAAGCGAGAGTAGTCAATTGCAGCTTTGCTAGCTTGCCATATATACATATTTGTTTTAAATAATTTATACGTACAGTCTGTTGAATGTATATACCAACTATTACCATGTGAAATACTCCATAATTGTGCTTGTTGGTAACCTAAGTTTTCATCAATTCGTGCTATTGTGACTTATTTTGGCACAGAAATAAGAGCGCACAATTTTTTTTTTGTTTTCGCAAAGGTGGGATTTCCCTTTAGCTCCCATTTTAAGGAAAGCAAGATGGATGCAAAAGTTACTGCAATCTTTCAGCTGCTTTTGTACAGCGCATATTGTAATTGCTCTAAAAATAGGGGCTGACTTTCTATCAGACATTTGCATTGTATGGAGCTGGCATTGTGCACATGACGCTTCCACAAGGTCGAAAGTACACAGTTGTCTAAGATGCCTTTCTATGCTGTAGCAATAACAGTACCCTTCATTGGAAACACCCGAAATCTGTCATTTGGGGGGTTGTCCTCAAACTTTTGGCTATGTAGTGTATATGGAGAAATTAATCATACTTTGTTTTACTTGGGTGCTGTGGAGGAACTTCCTTCATGTCTAGATCTGTCACATCACAAGAGCAGATTATCCTCTCTGCAGGGAAAGCTTTCATCAGTACATCATAGTGTGAGTGATTGTGTTTCTGTCACAAGAGAACATACCGTATGTATTACCTCTAAAAAAAAATTTAAACCAGCATCATTTGGGTCATTGGGAATGTGTCGGGAAGTATATTTTCTTCTGTCCTCAGCATTTCAATTAGTTCTGGCTGTTCTCAGCCTGCTGTGCTGTCAAGGGCAGCCTTGCTGTTTATCATGACAGTCAGAATGCAGCCATATTGCTTTATGTATTCCCTGCTTTATTCCTTTTTGGACTGGCGGGGTTTTGCATGCATTGGTCACCTGTGTTTTTTTTAATTTTTTTATATGGAACTCAGGTTTTCCTTCCTGACGACAAATAAAATGTGACAATCGCATGTGCTGTTTGATCATCAAAGCTAACTGCAGTTGATGTGCAGGCAAAATGCAGTCTCTTTCTTTTTCCTGCAACATTCTACTTACAGCAGTTAACAGAACACTTGTTTGGTGCATTGTTTTATTGAGAAATAGGCAAATGTAAACATCATCAACATTATGAAACGCGAATCACAGATTCTGTAGAATGAAGGGACTACGTGTGATACCACAATGCATCAGAAGAGGTCAGAATGCCAGCTTTCATATAAGATCTTATCTTAAAGGCAAGGGCATATGAAATTCTCAAGAAATAATGATGCAAACGAAGAACCAGTAAAACAGTGTACAGTAATATCTTATGAACAACCCAATTTTTAAGAGAAGAAGGAATAATCAATCCAAAGTCACAGAAGGAACATGTAAAAAGTGTAAGGAGCGTGAGGGAGGATTTAGGGGAAGAACAAAGAAGAGGAAAGGGGAAGAAAAAAATATATATGAAGATTGAGATAAAGGTAAAGATAGGAGCAAAGAGAAAGATAAGGATAACAAGGTGCACCCTAGATCGCTGTAAAGCTGGCCATACACCTATATATTATCTGCAGACTTTCTATGGTCAGATGGAAAAAGTGCAACGGATTCCTCCATCTACGCTAAACTATGTGGATGGAGGAATCGCCCATGGTGCCAAGCTTCAGTATGTTGCTAGACTGCCCCGCTGGCTCTCAAAATACCTGAATAATCCGATTGGATGAAGGCATTGTCCAGGTATTTTGAGAGCCAGCGGGGCCGAGTAGCAAGATACTGAAGCTTGGCGCAGTGGGAGGTTCCTCCATCCACACAGTTTAGCGTAGATGGAGGAATCTGTTGCCCTTTTTCCATCTGACCATATAGATTATCTGCAGATTTTCTAGGTGTATGGCCAGATATACAGAGAAAGGTGAGTTTGACTAAATTACCAAGACCACATGGTAGGGAACAAAATATGTATGGAACAGGAATATCCCAGATTGAAGCTGTTATGCAAATGCAAAGTGATTCACTGGTGAGTAAGGGAGTTATGCATTTCCGAATAGATGTGATACATTGTTTTAAAGGGAATGTACAGTATAATCTTTTTAAATTTAGTTTTTTTTTCTAGTTGTACTTGTAAAATATATCCGCTTGCTGTAAACAATTGTGTTTTTTTGCATTAATGTGTTATAAACCTGGTGTGCATATAGATTCCAACTGTACTGTGTATACATACCGCCATATTTGCTCTTTATATGTGCTGCTTATTCGTCCTGATTTACAATATTACGCCATGGCCTTGGTTTACTGCTCCTTCCGATAATGTAAGCCTATGAGTCAGCGGAATTATTGAAAGTAATATATTTTAATTCTGGAGGTTTTGTTTGGGAAAAAATAATCTACAAACCTACAATCCAAATTTAATAACAGTAGCAAATACACTGAGTGGCCAGATTATTATGACCACCCCATCAGTCCTTCGTTGGGCCACGAGATGACTCCCCGAGATGACTTCGTTGGGCCGCCTCGTGACTCCACGAGATGTTGAAAGGTAAATCTGACACTGCACTGTTGCCCTATTAATGACTTATCACACCTTGTTCTGTACTCCATCTCTGTGTGGAGGTTAACATCTTGAAAAAGGCAGAATTTTTCTTCCTCATGGCAGAGCCTTCAGCAAAGAGAAGAGTAAGCAGCACAGCAGGGACATCACCAAATCTCCTTAGACAGCAGTCAGTGGCAGCAGTGCCTTGGGTCTCACACTTGAGATATACACACATAAGGCACATGGGGTCCCTAGGCATTAACATGAAATGTACTGCTACTTTTCAGGAGGAATTCAAGATATGTTAAATTGTTCTTTCTCTTTCGTTCATTGGAGGACACTGGACTGTTTTAGCTCATAACCTACTGGGTATAGTAGCACCTGCCGGTATGTGACACTAGGTATCATTAAAAAAACAAGACAATTCAGAGGCAACCCCAATAGTCCACAAAAACAAAATATTTAAACACACAGGCCACAACAAAGCCAGACGGGAGGGTACTTTGTCCTCCAGTTAAGTGGAGTGCAAATTTATTTTTATTTTTTTCAGGGTACTGCTTAGGCATAATTATAATTTCTTAAAGTGACACTAAACTCTGGAGTTAAATCTTAAAAATACATTCAAGAACCTTCCTCCTTGCCTCTACACACAATTATCCCAACCTTATTTCATGCAGATCTCAGGTGCTATAATTGAACACGTGCATTGAAAACGAATAACAGTGCATATACAGGCAGTCCCCGGGTTACGAACAGGATAGGGACTGTAGGTTTGTTAAGTTGAATTTGTATGTAAGTTGGAACAGGTACATTTTTTAAGTGTAACTCCTGCCAAAATGTTTTTTTTTTTTTTTTTTTTTTCATTTGGATAGCATATGAAAGTATTTACCCCCTGTAAAGTTTGTTTTGCTGTGTGTGCCCCTGTAGGGAAGATTTCACCTCGCTTTCTGTCCCTGTGACAATTGGATTTTGAAAAATCAGTGGAGACACCTTTTTCCCATTAAAATCTTAAAGGAGGGAATTTCCCTTCCTAGGGGTAGATTTCCTTTCACTTCCTGTTGTCTCAAGGACAGGAAGTGAGATTAAATCTTTCTAATGAGGATACAGACGGCAGTAAAAACCTCACAGTGACCCGGAAGAAGAGGCGGGCACCCCCCGTCTACACGTCTAATAGAAGCCAACTTCCTGTAATCTACATACAGTACTACGAACCAGACCCAAAAAGGCGGACACTCCTCGTCAGCACGAGCGTGGCAGTATTACAACTATCCCTGCTGTACAGTAATAGCCTCCGTTTGTAAGTAGGAGTCATATGTAAGTAGGAGGTATGTAATTCGGGGACTGCCTGTAAATAGATATTCAAATAATGATTCTGTAATATGACTTTGTGATCATCCAAGTTTTATATGATAGTGCAAAAGTAATCAGTCCAAATAAAGTGCTTCAATCGTGCAAGCAAACTCCAAGTTGATGTATTGCTGGTGCATCCACTCATGCATTAAACATAGAAGTTGTGTCTTCACCTGGGTGAAATGACAATAGCTGTCTCTCACCTTAATAGTAGACCCTTTATGTCCCCGATATTCCCCTTCCTCACCCGCCTTGAAACCCCCCACCCACCCCTCAGGTATTGCATGTGATTTGTTTATATGTCTGTACATGATATTGTTCCCTTGTCATTAGTCCATATATTGAAAAACTTCAATAAACATTTAATATGAAAAAAAGAGTAGACCTCTCAAAGAGAAGGTCATGCACACATTACCCCATTTGCAGCGAGGAAGTGGTTCTCCTGCCCTTAACAGGTCAAACAATCGGTTCACAGACTCCTCTAATGGTTATTTCAATTGATCCAGTAGATGTCGCTCATCCACACCTCCCTAGGACAACTTTTTCTTTCTTTTTTTTCTAGGTGTATATTCTGTGCCGTTTGTCCTGAAGCGAAGTATATGGACACCAGCACTGCAATGGCAGATAGAATACGTCTCTTTATTGACGTACATACAACAAGAGCATAACACACTTAGTGCACCGTGGCCATCCGTTGACTACCGTTGCACCCACTTTATCTTGATGGAGCAGCGGTCAGGAGTGCGATGGGTACATGGAATATAACTTGTTTGTCCTTTTTTTAGTTAGAGATCAGCTCTAAAAAAAAATGAAAAAAAAAAAAACTAGGCTTCATTTTTTTCTGTCAATATTTTTTTTTTTTGTAGCCATGCTGTCTATTTACCCTGTATTGTATTGTGCATTAGCTAATTAGTCTCTAAACATTGCTGGTTCACTAGTTGGCTTTTTGTAATTGGATGGGCGTATTGATTTAATGTCACTGCTTCTATTTCCTGTCATTTCATTGT